ATATATATATTTTTTAATCTTCCTTGTTATAACATGCAAATCTTAGCTGAAACATAGCAAATGAAAAAAAAAAATTATATCTCACGGTGTTGCAGAAACAATTGCTACAAAAGATGCTCAAAGTGGTTCAAGTAAGCAATCAACATTTTTCAGACAATATGATTTGGTTAAAATGAGCTGTATTTATCTGGCACAAAAACAATAACAATACCAATTAGGAATACACAATGCTATTTGGTGTGGTGTTATAATACCATAATAGGTATTATATGTATTTTCTTAAACTACAAGGGCTGCAAAATAATGTGAACACCTGGGAAATAGGTAATATTTATTTATTAAGTTTTTTTTTTTTACCACCATTTGGCTTTAATACAGCTTCCTACCTTATTAGATTAGATTCATACAACTTGTAAATAGTCTTCAGCAGAATGTCATCTATCAGAACATCTGCCAGTTGCTTCAGAGATGTTGGAGAAGAGAATCTGCTCTTCACCCTTTTCTCTCAAACTGCCCACAGTGGTTTGATAATGCTCAAGCCAGATGATTTGTCTGGCCAGGGCAGATGTTGAGGTTCATCTTGGCAGGCCCGTAGCCAGCTATGAGGTCACCGAGGTCCGGACCTCGGTAAATTTTTTCCTGTACAAAAATAAAATTGGTTCTCTGAATGACTAATTTGCTGTTAAACTCCTCGTATGAATGTCTGCATGACATGTATAATTAAGTTTAGAACACTTGCAAGAATGTTTAGCGTCCGTAGTATGAAAATAATCGCTGTGAGACGCTGGTGGAGTGAACGAGACTTGACAGGCCTCTGTGTTGCCAGATCCAGCTATTATAAGCGTTTTTTTGACTTGTCTTTTCCACTTAATTTGACACTTTAGAAAGTTAATAAAGTAGGACATTACAGTTTAGGGTCAGCAAAATCTTTATCTTATCTTAAGTGCAAAAGATTTAAAATATTTTTTTGGTTTATTTTAGTTTTTTGAAAAATAGCTTATAAATCTCTAATGCGGCTATATTATCACCTAATATTGGTATCAATCTATTTTGTGTAGGCCCGTTATTTTTGAGCGGGAACACCACACGTGTGATTTTCTTTTTTTTTTGGCAATTTTTTGATAATTTGTACAAAATAAAAGCTTTTCAAAACAAATTTCTTGGTTAAACATTTAAAGCATGCTAGTGTGATAAACAGTGCAATTTTTAAAAAAATATTTTATTTAATATTGATAAAATTATCCACAAATAACACTTTTTTTTTTCACTCAAAAACTGATGTATGTAAGCTCAGATTAATGAGGCCTACGATGAATCAGTTCCAAAAATAGACATAAAACCAGTCCTAATTGAAAGAAAACAAGCTGACAAAAAGATTGATGCCAAATATTAGGTGATAATATTGCATAACAAGAGATTTATAAGCTATTTTTTGAAGGCCGGTCATTTTTGACCGGGAACACCAGTGTAACAAGGTTAAATAACATAAAAAATGTTTAACAAAAATTAACAATTTTTGCGGTGGAATTAGTTATGCCCTGCGTGAACAAAGTCAGTAAATCTTAGTTCAATGCGAGAACGTTAATCAACATTTTCGGGAGAAAGAAAATTCTCTCCGGGTCAAAATGTCCCGAACACAACCTGAAGGTTAATAACACCTTAATTCATCCCCCACACTTTTTTTCGGGCAAGTGTGTTCACATAAAGGTTTTCAAAGGCCGGTGTGAATAAATCTAGATTTAATGGGATAGTCTGTGCATGACCTGATGTTTTATTCGTATCCAGAATGAGGCGATGTGATTGTGAACATCACGGAGCGCTGAACACTCTCGTGCATGTTTCACTCATACTCGAAGCCGGAAGGCGCTCTTGCCAGAAATTCCCAGACGGACTCAGAAGTAATAACTTGAAGTGCCAGAAAATCCCTATATGGACAAAAGCATCCAGCTATCACTGTTTAAGCTGTTAAACGTTTGGATGTGAAGACATTAAACACACGATTGCGACAATATATGGTTTATGTGGGCTTTTCAAGTCATCTCCAGGTAATAAATAAAGTATATGAATAATGCAGTGCTAGTGTTTGTAGTATATAAACAAATCATTAGCAAAATATAAGAAAAATATTATAGAATACAAATGATTGGTTATTGTCCAGCAGTGTATTTGATTTCTTAGCCAATTAAAAGTAAGAAATAAGAGTAAAATAAAACTTGTGACCCTGGACCACAAAAGCAGTCTTAAGGCTTACGAATATCGCGCGATTATCGCCGACGTTTAACGCCTCGTGACTAAACAAAGGGCGCCAATGTGAGTGTGCACACCGACGCGCAAAACGCGAGGCGTAAAAGCGTCATTTTTTAAAAAACCGCCTCGGACTCGTTTTTTTGGTTTGACACGCCGCGTTAAAACTGCATGGCCGACCAATGAGATTGGCACTGTTGTTCACATGCCTGGAGCTGCTGAAGTTACAGTAAAACACGACTTGGTGGCGCTCAAGCACAAAACGGTCTTGCCGAATAGCCACAAAAACATTATATGGGTCAAAATTATCGATTTTTCTTTTATGTCAAAAATCATTAGGATATTAAGTAAAGATCATGTTCCATGAAGATATTTTGTAAATTTCCTACTGTAAATATATTAAAACTTAATTTTTTATTAATAATATGCATTGCTAAGAACTTCATTTGGACAACTTTAAAGGCAATTTTATCAATATTTAGATTTTTTTGCACCCCAGATTCGGAGAAGTGCTCACTAACACAGATTTAGACACATTTGTGAACAATATTTGAGAGAAATAGGCCTTTTGTGTACATCAAAAAAGTCTTAGATCTTTGAGTTCAGCTCATGAAAAATGGGGGCAAAAACAAAAGTGTTTATAATTTTGTTCAGTGTATATATATTACATTTGAAATTTCTGTCCCCCTGACTTCTGAAATGATGGCTACACCCTTGCACTCTGCTAAACAGGCTCCCATGATTTGTTCTTTTTGGAAATTTGCTTATACTACACTCAACCTAGAGAATATAAACAATGAAAAGATAAATAATAATCAAAAAAAAACATTTGTTTGTTTGTTTTTTTTTCACTGTAGCCTATACAACTGATATTAGCCCCTATTAGTGTTGTCAAAAGACCCGGTATTTCGGTACCAAGTCGGTACATTGAAATAAACATCGGCGTTAGCGTATACGTAGTTAATCGTTAGCATAAGCGCGGCTAACGCTAATATAATGAGCATTAGAATGAATTTTGTTCATTTTGTTCAAAATTATTTCTTTAACTATTTAATGCGCCTATAACTTTTATTACTGTAAAAGACAGGAGGACATATTGGTATTTACTATTTTTACACACCAGAGGCTTTTAAATGAACTGTGTAACCAAAATATGCGTGTTAGAGAATGTACAAATGTATGGTTAACAGTGTTTATATCATATAGTGTATATGTCATATCAGTCCGTCAGAAAAAGTT